TGCCTGCCCTCACCTCCCGCCGTCGCTGTCTGTGACGCCCGCCATGGGCACGTTGGGGCAGTGCAGGGAGAACACAGAGATGCCCAGCAGGCCGGCCAGGGCGCACAGCAGGCAGAACCTGACGATGCCGGGACCACGGAGCTTCAGCCTGTTCACGAAGAAGCCGCCAAGGAACGTGCCGCCGCCGCCCGCCGGCACCACCAGGTACCCTGGGGACAGGGCAGGGTTTAGTGGGACTGGGGAGGCCCCGGGGGTGTGGCATTAGCCCCGCTCTTATTATCTCCACTCCACAGGTAGGGAAACTGAGGCACAGAGGGATCAACTGCTCCCCAGGGCCTGCAGGGAGGGGCAGGGAGGAACCGGGAGGGGGCCCAGTAGCCCCCGCCCTGACGGAAAGGCCCGTCACTCCTCCAGTGGCCCCCAGGGCACCATGCTCTCTGCCCACGTAGCCCCTGCTGAGTCCCTGCAGCTGTGACAGAAGCCCACGGCCACCGCCCTCTGGCACAAATCTGGGATTAGCTGGCACGTGGCTTCCAGGCTGACAGCGCCCAGTGATGGGAACTGGTGGGGGTGACCTCTGGGCAGGGGGAGGGGGTGGCACGGGGAGGGCGGCTGGGAGGGAGGGAGTTGTCCTGGGCGGGGGTCCGGGTACGTGGGGTCTGCCCGGAGGGGCCAGGCAAGGCGGGGAGAGGGGGGAGGGCCCGCACACTGGAACCCTGAAGGGTGGGCACAGGCTTTCTGCACCCACCCGGCTCCCAGCACGACCCCGCACACCAGCCCCTCCTGCCAAGCATGTTATGGCTGGCCCAGGGCTCCTGGTGGACCCTGGCAGAGAAGGGGCCCACCCTCTGCAGACCTGGGACACCTGCCGCCGGGCACACAGGGACAGCCAGGCCCAAACCCTTCCCGTAGCGAATCGCGGAGGCTGAGGCCAGGTGGCGAGTGGTGGAGCCCACCCCAGGCCTCCCACCTGCTCAGCGGCTGTGGTGGCGCTTCCCAACCCCCCCGAGGAGGGCAGCTCAGGTGAGTGCCGTGGTGCAGCACGGCCTCCTCGCGGAGCCCCAGGGTGCCCTCAGCTCCTGCACCATGGGCTGGGGCCCTCGCCCAGCGTGTGTGCCCTGTCTGGGTCTTTCTAGAAGGTGTCCTCAAAGACCCCAACTCATCTGAGAGCGAATGACAAAGCAGAGGACCCCAGGTTGGGGTTTCTCACCAAACAAGGTGGCAGCTTCAGAGGCACTCAGGCTGAACTGGGACTCGAGGAACTTGGGGCCGAATGTGGACATGCCGGCGATGAGCGTGGCCTCGGTGGCCCCCGCTAGGCAGAGCAGGATGAACGTGGGGTTCTTCAAGAGTAGCCAGAGGGAGCTGGACAGGAGAGCAGTATGGAGACCAGAGAGAAGAGACAGAGGGTCAGAGTGGGCCAAATCCAGGTGTGGAAAAACTGCTGTTCCCCAGGCTGTCACCTCTTCCCCTGAGCACAAGGCCCCAGCTCTGGGAGGGAGGGGGTGGGGAGCAGAGCAAGGCAGACGGGCTGCAGGGCTGGGCTCCGGCAGGTAGAGACCCCGTGACCAAGCCTGTAGCCACTTGTCCCAAAAGCGCAATAACTGTTTACAGAAAACTTTATCACCCCTTGGCCAGAGCCCCGGCTTCAGGTGGGTGAGACCCCACGTGGCCTGAGGCCCTGTTCAATCACCCCCAGTCAGTGGTGCCAGCCAGGGAGCTGACTGGGGGGCAGGGGTCACCATGTCCAGGACTGGACGGGTCCCCAGGGCGGGGGGACGGGGTACCGACGGTGGGGCCATTCTCAGCCACCAGCCCCGGGAGACGATGGGGCCAGGAGCCTTTCAGATTTGGAATGGGGGCCCCTCCAATGTGCCCTGGGTGGGCTTGGCTGGCTCTCCGACGGGTTCCTCGCCGGAGCGGCTGCCCCACGCCGGCTGCGCAGGCGCTGACCACCCGGCGTTGCGCACGGCTTCGCTCAGACTCGCTGCACAGGGGGCACGAACGAGCCTTCTCTTTGTCCCCGCCCTGGTTAAAACAGGGGGGCCCAGTTCTTCCAAAATTTACTTTCTAACTTTGGGATTGGAAAGGCTTTCCTTTTGATCAGCCACGTGGGCCCCACGTCTTAACAAAAGAGACAAGACGGGACGGGAGGAAGCCCCCTCCCTGAGCGGTGCCGCCCCAGCTGGTCCCAGACTGCGAGGACTGGGCAGGGGGGCAGTGCCCCGGTGGCTTCCTCCTGGGGCCCTGCCCAGGCCTGCCCAGGCTCCGGACGCTTGGCCGGTCAGGAGGTGGCGTGAGTCTCCCGAGGGGGCACAAACCTCATTTCCCAATCCCAGCCCACAGGTCGCTCGACCGAAATTCCTGTGTCGAATTTGCCCAGAGAACTAGTCATGGCTGTAGCAGAGGGCGCCAGGCTCCAGCATTTGCTCACGGCCAGCAGCTGCCTAGGGACGGACCCTGGGCATAAACCTCTTCACCACCGAGCAGAGCAGGAGACCGGGGGCCCCACGTCCACGGCGGGGACCAGGCTCAGGACCTGAGTGCGGGGAGCGCCCCTCGAGGACGTACCAGCAAGCCCTGGCCAAGGTGGCCCTGGGTCAGCCGGGCCGTGGGGTCTCAGCGGGCAGCTCCCGGCCCCTCAGGGGTTTCACAGGAAGGGGGAGCCCCGCGGGAAAGCCCTGCGAGGCGTCTACTCCCCCACCTCAGCCCTGCCTCTCACAGCAGACAGCCCCCGTGGACCACCCAGGCCCTGACTCTGTCCTCCCCCCACCCACCACCCACCACCCACAGCCTCCACCCCACGTGGCCCCCGCGAGCTCAGGGACGTGCTGATGGGACACGAACCCTCAGAGGGCTGGGCAGTGACCACCCTGACAGCCGCCCCCCGCCCAGGGAGAGCCCCCCAGGGAAGGCTCAGTCCAGAGGAGAGACCCAGATCTCCCAGCCCCCTCCTAAGACGCCAACAGCTCGGGGCTCTGGGCTGTCCCCACGGGGTGCAGGGCCCCTGGTGGGCTGAGACGCTGCCGGGCAGGCCGACCGCGGCAGGTGCAGCCAGAGCTCGGGGCCCGGGCCTTGGCCGAGGAGGCGCCATTGGCTGCTCCTCAACTTTTCAGTCCAAGTTCCAGGGACTACGGTCACGACAGGGGCCCTCCCCACAGGACCCAGGAGGGGTCACCCTGACTTTCCCCATGGGGCCCTCGGTGGGTCTGAGGACACAAGGCTCGGCGACGCCCCAGGTCTTACAGGGGCAGATCTCGGATGGTTTTCCCGAAGTCCGGGCTGTTCGCGGCCCTGTGGCTGCCGTCCTTCAGCTGCCGCGTCTCCGACGCTCTCATGACCACGTAGCGCTGCGAGCCTGGAAGGATAGGCTGTCACTGGGAGGCCCCCCCAACGCCTGGGTCTGGGAATGTTGTAGTCCGACATCCGTGCCGCCATGGCAGACCCAGGGGTGGAGGGCGCTGGACAGAAACCACGTGAGGATGTGCCACGTGACAGGCTGGAGGCGCCAGAGTGAGGGCCACAGTGGGACCGGCGGGAGGGAGAGGCCAACGGGCCCGGCTGGGACAAGCCCGTTCCACGGCCCTGGGGGGTGCTGCTGGGGCAGAGGGGAGGTCCTGGGATGGCCACACACGGCCAGCCTGGCCTTCCCTGCGCCATGGCCAAGGGTGTCTTTCCACCTGGGCGGGAGGATTAAGATCGAAGGCTCCGCTCCAGAGAACGGGGTTTGCGCGGCCTCGTGCACGGCGGGGAGGAGGACGGGCAGGAGAGGGGGTGTCCTTCCTCCGTGGCACTCAGGGGCTGGGCCGGGGCAGGGAAACCCACCTGGCAGCTGTCGGGGGTAGCCGAGGATGGGGACGGCGATGAGAAAGGCAGCGGCCCCCGCGCCCAGGAAGCCAATCCACCAGGCGCCCACCCACAGCGGGCTCTCGGTGGTCAGCTCCGTCCTGCCAAAAGAGGCAGAGGCACGCGGGTCAGTGTGCAGCCACCATGTCCCCCATGGTACGCACACTGGCGACCGCCTGGCTCTTCCCCAGAGGAGACCTCCAGGGTCCCTGGTCAGCACAGGCCCACAGCAATGCCAGCCGCAGGCCCAGCCCGCCCCTGCAGGCTGTAGCAAACAGCACCCTGCCTCAGCCACCGCCCGGGACGGACAGGTCCACACCCTGACCCACGCTGAGGGGCCCTGAGACGCTGCCTGTGGCCCGGTCCTCAGAGTGAGACCACAGAGGGGCTGCGGGGGTGGGGCGGCAGGCTCTCCAAGCAACAGCAGGGTGAGGCGTCCCTCCCCTCCAATGCAGAGGGTGACAGATGGCGTCCCCGGGGCCTCCTGAAGCTCAGGGCAAAGGGCCCAGCTGGAGCTCACCGGTAGCTCCCCGCAAAGGGACTATTAGGGCGTGTTACAGTCTGCAGGGAGACGGGGAGGAGCCCAGGTCTGGGCTCCCAGGAGCGGCCAGCACAGGGAGGAGGCGGTGGCCGAGAGCAGAGTGGCAGAGAGAGACACAAAGGACGGAAGGGACACAGGGAGCGCTGACACCCCATGGGGCCTCGGCCGGCCGGCTCAGGCGGCTTCTGCCTCGTCCTAGCACGGAAGAGCCACAGCCACCTCTAGGGCCACAGCCTGTTTCTGCCTCCAGCCCCCAACACCCCATGTGCAAAGCGGGCCTGGATCCCGGAGCGGGAGGGGGCACCCCAGAGAGGACCCCAACCCAGACTTGCCTCCAGGCTTGGCACAGACCTGCCCTTGACCCCAGGTCAACCCGAGGCCGGAGGTGGCTCTCACGGAGGTCAGAGCACTAGAAACCCCGGCGAGAGGCCCAGCTGCAGGAGTCCCAAGGGCAGCCTGCCCCTTCCCTCCCGTTCCCTGTCTCCGTGCCTTGGTCTCTCTCCATCCCTGTCTCTCCGTCCCTCTCTGTCTCTGTCCCTCTGTCCTTCTCTCTGTCCCTCTCATATTCTAACTTGCCAGCTTAAATTTACAAAACTGGGCGCCGCAAATGAAAGATACAAGGAAATAAAGGAAACAAGAATCTCAGGCCACACAGAGAAACCGTGGCCAGGGCCCCCTGGGCGTTGAAGCACTTGGGCCTCCGGCTGCCGCCCGTCCGCCCTGCGCCTCCGCCAGGCCAGGCTCCCGGCACCATCCACGGACCCCGAGCCGTCCAGAGCAGAGCCAGCCCTGGCCCTCCCGCCCAGCGGGGCTCGGCACCCAGCCACACCCAGCACGACCCCCGCGTGGACCCTGCTCGGCCAGAACCACATTGCAGGGACACTCGGGGCCCTCCTGCTGCACGGCGGCTCGGCGCCGTCCCTGTGGGTGAGACAGGCGGGGGTGCAGCCCGGTCACTCACCGTCTGCCCACGTCCGTGTAAATGTTCAGCATGGCGCCTCCGACCAGGTAGCCGGCAGCGGGCCCGAGGATGGCTGCCGTGTAGAAGATGGCTGCAAGGGAAGTAGAGGTGTTGGGGTCGCCATGCGCCGGCGTGAGGGGGCCTGGGGCTGCGTGGATCCCCTCCTGATAGAGGCCCCCACACCCGTCTGCCCCCACCTGGAGCCCTTGGAGCAGCGCTGGTCAGTGCAGCCTCCCCGGGGTCTGACATTGGTCAGTATCGGCTTAAAAATTCCCTCCCAGCCAGCCGTGGACGTCGCCTGGACTCTCGAGAAAGAGCAGACTGCACACCCCAGTCTGCAGGGTGAGGGCCGCGTCCGAGCAGCACCGCGGACTTGCCCTGAGAGAAACTGGGCCGGGCCTGGAGCCCGGAGCCTACAGCCTAGTCCCTCACCCCCACAGACCAGGTTTGGAAGGGTCAGCGTGGCGGGACGTCCCCTCCCCGAGTGACATGATCCTCAGTGAGCCCTCGGTCCTTGGGATGGCGACCGCCGGTGGCTGGGAGGGACAGAGCTCCCAGGGCACGTGACGAAGCCAAGGCCATAACCATAGAGTCTGGCGGGGCCTGAAGTGCCGGCCAGAGGCTCGCTGTGACTGTCCCTGAGGTGGCCTCGGGAGGGCCAGGCTGGAGGGACGCTCGGGAGTGGGGGCGGGTGGATGAGGCCCCAGGTAAACGCAGACGGGCCTCCCCGCCCTGCACCACACAGGCGTGGGACCCGGGCTGCACGCGCGGCCGGGACAGGGAGCTCAGGCGGGAGCATCTGGGCCACGAGGGGGGTGTGCACAGGGCCGGCAGCTCCCTGGTCATCGTCCCTGCTGCCAACACCACCCTGCAGCCTCTCGCCCACCAGGACCCCAGCCGGCGCACTCACCGATGTAGACGGGCGAGTAGCTGGACTTGACGTTCTCGTCCAGGTAGGTGACGCCCAGCGTGTAAAGGGGCGTGGCGCCGACGCCGTGCAGGAACTGGCCCAGCATGAAGACCAGCCGGTAGCTGGAGAGGCCCGAGGCGCTGTCCCTGCACGCCGTGCTCCGGTTGGCTGGGCACGCCGCCACCCACGTGTCCGCCTGCACCTCATAGGGGCCGGCGGTGAAGTGGGGCAGCGCGAACACCAGCGAGCCGGCGCCCATGACCAGGACACCCCAGCCCAGCCAGCGCGGCTTGTGCCCGCTGCCCCCGAAGTAGCTGACGAAGGTGAGGCAGAGGCAGGCGGCGATGTCGTAGGCGCTGGCCACGAGCCCGCTCTGGTAGCTGTGCAGGTCGAAGCGGCGCTCGATGGAGGTGATGACCGTGTTGATGAAGCCGTTCACGGTCATGCCCTGCAGGAACGCGGCCGCGCACAGGAAGAGCAGGAAGCCCTTGGGCGTGTTGAAGGCCTGCAGACACGCGGGGGCGAAGGCCCGCCAGCCACACGCCGTGCTCTGCGGCCCGGCCGAGACGTAGCGCATCTCGTGGGCCACGCGCGCGCTGCGCTTCTCAAAGTCGCACAGGGGCTGGCTGCAGGCATCCAGGGGGCTGTGGGCGGCGGAGCGCAGGGAGCCGGGGCTCAGGGGCGAGCCCAGGGATGCCCTCCTGCTGGGGGGCGTGTGCTGAACCCCGTTCTCCAACGCCGGGCCGGGGAAGGTGGGCGGCAGCATCGAGGCGAAGGGTTTGTCCCCCGTCGAGTGCTGGGGCATCTCCGAGCCTGTTGGTGGGGGGACCTCGCGGCTCTGGCAGCGTGGGGCAGTCACCCACTGGGATCCCAGGGGCCTGGAGTATCCTGAGGAGGAACCGCTGGTTAGCAAGCTGGCGTCTACCTGTGAGCACGTGGGTCTGGCATGAGCGTCCCGGCACACCCAGCACCCGGGTGGCCGATGGCTCTGCCTGCTGGGCGTCGAGTCGGGTGGGGCTGAACGGGGCTGCACAGGGTCTGTGGGCCAGGTGACGGGATGACGCGGATACTCCATCCCTGCGCTGCCCGCCCCCCACCCCCGGCCTTGGGCAGAGGCGGAGTCCCGCTGGGCACCGAGAGCTGCGCCTGCGGCTGCGTGAGGGGGCTGGGAGGGACCTACGCTGACAACACGCCTCACACGTGGGGACGCGGACTGTGAGCTTCGCTTAGTGTGTTTTTAAATAAAGGAACAACTTCCTCTTGTGGTCGCAGATACACAGGGCTCACTGAGCACTGGGCAGTGGGCGCGTGGCCGCCACGTGGCTCCTTTGTGGCATTGTCAGGCCGCACCTCCCCGGCCCCCTCCGGCCTCCCCAGGGCCCGGGGGCAAATGCGCCGGGCCCAGGATAGCCCCACGCACAGTGCTGAGTGGGATCCTTGTGCACACGAGCGCCGACTGTGTACCAGGCCTTGTCCCAGGCCATAAAGGTGAGGGAAGGAGGCCGGGGGTCGCCAATGACTCGCCCAGGCCCCGTGGCCCGCAGTGGCAATTAGGACTTGGCCACGGGTGGCCACAGAGCCGGTGCCTGTGTCACAGCTACCTTCTGGCTCTGTTGAGAGAGCTGTGCCCAGTCACGGGGCGCTCACACACAGGCCTGCTGTTTACTTTGGAAACTGGGGCCGCCAGGCTATCAGTGGACACGTTTTGAGGCCACGGAGCAAAAACTCCAAGCAGCCACTCCCGCAGGCCGCTCCCCAGGTGCCGCACTGCGCCTGCAGTTCCGCCTGCGCCGACACGGCAAGCGGGCGGTGGGCTCCGTGTGGGAGGCGCCACGCCAGGTGGAGTGCCAGAGGAAGGAGCAAGTGTGTCAGTGTGGCAGTAACGCTTGGCGCTTCCCCACGGACAAAGTGTGACCCACGTCCACACACGCGAAACAGGCTGGCAGTGCAGCTGGTGTCCCAAAGACCACGGGCAGCCGGGCGTGGATTGCAGGAACCACGTAGGAGAGAGCAACGGGCGTGCGCCCCGGGCGGGACGGATCGAGGCAACAGCTCTGCCAGCTGCCAGCCCAAACTTGGACGGGCTCCGGAAGCAGGGCCCCTGCGCAGAGCGCGGAAAAGCACGGAAGGCTCAGCCCAAAGTTACTCAAATGCCAAAGCCCAGAGACCACCGACAGCATTTGGGTGCGTTTCCCTCTGGTCTTCTTCACGTGTGTACACGAACACGCATGTGCACAGGCGCACGGAGCCAAGGAGTGCCCTGAGGATTTGCTGGAGGTCGGGGTGCACACGTGTGTGCACACACACGAGTAACAGGGGACTTGGCCTCATCCTGGGCTGGGACAGAGTTCCCAGGGAAGGAGCCGGCTGTGGAGGAACGGCCCGTGCCCAGTCCTGAGCGGGCTCAGGGCTGTGCTCAGAGAGGGTCTGCCTGGCTGTGCGGGTGACTGGTACCCACCAGCGCTCGTGTGTAGAGCGCAGCGGAGCCCACGACACCACCGCAGGCCCAGACGCCGGCTGCTTCGAACACCCGCTCCGGGACGGGCCACTGCGGGGGGAGCGGGAGGGGGGATCAGGTTGAAAAGGGGGTTTAGAGGAAGCCGGATTGCTAAGCTTACGTGATTAGCAAAGGCCACAAAGAAACAGGACGACTTCCTGCTTAAAATAGAAGCCACGACTAAAAAAGAACGAGTCGTAGTGTCCAAACAGCCCTGAGTCGGTGGTGGTTTCACCTGAGTGAAAAGCTGTGACTCAGCCCACGTTACTTAAAATCCTGTGCTGGCACTGGCCAGGCGGCCGGACGCTTGCTGCCCGCTAGGGCAAAGGGTGGTATTAATGGGAACCGCATGGCGCCGGGGCGGTTCTGAAGCCGGGTGCGATCCGACAGCAGCCGACCGTGGAGCCGACCTGTGTGGTGCCGGCCTGAGCTTCCCGCCACCGAGTGGCGCACACGCGGCGGCTGTGTGATCTGCACCGCGCCCGAGAACGCCGGCCCCGGGTCCCCTCTGAAGCTGGAACTGCCTCTCCAGAAGGCTGTTCCTCCCTCCCGGCGCTGTCTGGGCTGGAACGCGGAGGCTCGGGCTGGAGCTCAGCTCGTGTACAGCAGTCCCAATGAGGGGCATCGGGCATCGTCCCTGCCACCGCAGGGGGTGGCCGGGTCACTGGCGGTGGGTCCCACACTCCTGCGTCCTAAGCACCGACATTTACTCAGCCTGCCAGGGAGCTGCAGGGAGGGGGCTCTGCCCCACGCTATATTCATGGCAGCGCTCGGCTGGGACCTACACGCGTCCTTGGCCGAACACGCAGGGCATGACTTGAGCTCCACGGCTAACGTTTGCCGCAGAAGCCAGCCTGCAACGCGACAGCCGGACACGGGCTCTGGGGACGCAGCCAGCCCCCTTCGGGGGTGCGGCCGTCAACTCCAGGGAGGGCATGATCTGGGCCTCCCATGTGGAGGCTTCTTTCTGGAATCCACTAGATTCCAGGGAGCCAAACCCAGGTGAACTCCACATCTGTCCTTGCTGCTGGTGACACCAGGGCTCATGACGGCTGTCCCTGTCAAGGCCAGCAGTTCTGCGGCTCTGAGTCTCAGGCCCCTCTTGGGCAGGCTGGGGGCTGGAAGCAGAGCTTAGAGGGTCCCCTGGCCCCGGACCGGCCCCCCACGGAGGACAGGACATCGCAGCAGGGCCCAGGGACGAAGGCAGCTGGCCCTTCCCAGCCCCCCTTTCTGGGGCCGAGTGCACATGTGTGTGCATGTGTGTGAGCGCATGCCTGTGGGTGTCTGTGCGTGCGTGTGCACATGCACGTGCATGCCTAAAGCTCCTCGTGTGGAACTGACCGTGAGAAAAGCTGTGCTGGCTTCCACAGCTGGGAACCCGCAGCAGCGAGGGACGGCGCCTCGCCCCAGACCCACCCCGCAGCCTCCCCCAGCAAGCGGAGTGGCTTCTGACGTGTGAACACGTCCCCCCACGCCCAAGGTCAAAGGACCTGCCCCTCCCAAAGACCTCCCTCAAGGGGCCCGGGGGACCCTCGTCCCGAGCTGGCAGTCGGGAGGGACCCCGTGGAGCGGGGCCTGGAGCCGGGCCGGTGGCTCTGCCTGTGGCCCACCCCGCACCTGCTCACCTCTGGGCCCTGGCCCGCTGCCCCCTGCTCCTGCGTCTCCATCTGTGGGAGAATACCAGGCCTAGGGAGGCTGGGATGGAGCCCGGAAGGCTCTCTGGGCCTGGGAGAGCACACCCCGCGCTCCACTCTCGAGCAAGGGGAGGGCGGCCCCCTCCTAGGGAGCCCGCGCCCGCCAGGCCTGCCCGGGTCTGACCCACAACCTGGCAGGAGGCGGGAGGGGGCCCTGGGGCGGTCGGAGTCCAGGGATTAGGTCGAGATGATTAGAGGGGGGATGATGCGTACCCAGAGCCTCTGGCCCAGGTGGAGACGTGGCATCGGTGGAGGGTGTGTGTGTGCGTGTGCCTGAGTGTGCGTGTGCCTGTGTGTGTGCCTGCGTGTGCGTGTGCCTGCGCGTGCGTGTGCCTGCCTGTGCGTGTGCCTGAGTGTGCATGTGCCTGCATATGTGCCTGCATGTGTGCCTGAGTTTTTGTGTGCCTGTGCGTGTGCCTGCCTGTGTGTGTGCCTACGCGTGTGCCCGTGCTCACTGTTTTAGGAGGACACCACAGGTGACCGGCGATCTCTTTCCCTTCCCCACACTGGCCGGGTCGCTCAGCCGCATCTCGCGGAAGGCCGTGCTGACTGCCCCACGCCTGTGCCCAGAGCATGTGCCGGGGGTTTTAGAGACGAGTCCAGCCGCCCCGGGTCCTCCCCCTCCCGAGCCCCGGACGACTGCCCTGTGGGAAGCCGGAGCGGGTGGCTCGGCACAGCCGTCTCCGGAAGCCGTCCGGGCCCGTCTCTGTGCATCTGCTTCCGTGTTTCCCGGGGCTCGTCCACCCCCCGTCTCCTAGCGGGGCCGTCTGCGCAGCGCTAAGGCCTGTGAGCAGGAGAAAGGCCACAGGGCGTCTGAGCGACATTTTACACCTCGAGTGGCCCTGGCCTGCCCGACTCCTTGCGGGTCAGGGAGGCCTGGAGCTGGGGTGGGCAGGTTGCCCGCTTCCACGTTAGGGGACACCCCCAGGCTTGGTCCCTAAACCCCGCCGGGAACTCGGAGGCCAGGCAGAGCCCCAGGACCTTTCTCCTCTCTCTTTAGGCTCCGGCCAGCTAAGTGCAGGAGGCGGTGCCGGGCCCTCCCCCCAGCACCCCATCGCTCCGAGGCCACGGCCTCAGTCCCTGCGGCCCGCCCGGCCAGCCCGGCCAGCCCCTCCTGGCACCAGGATCCCCCCCACCCCGCGACACCTGGGACTCTCTCTCTTGCCTCCAAGAGTCCTCCTGGCATCTCTTCCTCAAATGGTTTCAGTGAAGGGAGCTTTCACTTCCACATGGTAGTTACAGATGGGGGAGGCAGGATCTGGGGTGGCCAGCAGCGCCTGGTACGCCCCAATTTGCATACCTGGTGACCTCGCACAGGTTGGGGACAGGAAGCCAGCCGCTTTGCATGGAGGCCAACAATGCAGGGTTGTCCGAGAGAGGGAGCCCTGAGCATCCTGCTGTCCAACCTGGACACCCAGTGCCCTCACCTCCACCTGCCGCCCTGGAGTGTGGGGAGGGCAGGGGGAGCCGGGACGCCGGGCGCAAGGTTTCTCTTCTTCCCGACGCTACATTCGAGCATGGAGTTGAAAACCCTCCCCCTGCCATGCAAGGGCAGATTCGAGAAGCAGAGAGAGGCTGTCTCCAAGCCAGGCGGATCATCGGGGCCCCTCTCAGCCTCAGTTTCCCCACAGCATGAGGTCAGGAGCAGGAGGAATGAGCCCCTGAGTTCTCCACTCACAGCGGGCCCAGGAACGCAGACCCCAGACTCAGAGTCTAGGGGGCCTTTCTGCAGGTCTCGTGCCCCCCACCCACCCCCTGCCTCTCGTTCCCACACACGTCCCCAGCTCCCCTCGCGCTTCGGTGCTGCCGAGTAAACACTAAGTGACGGTCATAACCTGGGGATCACTGTGAGGGTCCCCATGGTTTTCAGTGCTCTCCTTGTCCTCTGGGGAAGGGGAACAGACCCTGGGGTTTCTGCTCCCCAGTCTTGGGACTCTCTGTCCTGCGGCCAGCACGCGAGCAGCGGCTGGGCCCCAGAGTAGAAGGGGAAGGTGACGAGGAGGCTGGTGCCCGCGACGTCCCTCCTCCAGGAGAGCCCTGTGAACTGCAGGGCATGGGGGCTGGGAGTGGAAGGGAAGAGTGGGTGGCTCAGAGGAGCTGCCAGCAAAGGGGCACAAACCTGGTCCCCCAACCTGTGGGAGGGACACAGTGCAGAAGGGATGGAAGTCTGGGGGTGCAGGCTCTGTCCAGATGAGGGACCTGCCAGCACAGCTGGCCCAGTATGCTTTCAGGGGGCTCCTAGGGCAAAGGGTCTTAATATCAGGCCAGCAGTATCTCCCAAGGGGTGGACCCCCTGACAAAATGCAAGGGGCAGGATGGAGCGTCCCACTAAGCCCAGAGGGTCCCAAGCTCTCTCTGTGGCTGGGGCTGAGGAACAAGGCCTCAGGGACCCCCCAAAACTTGCCAGATAAAAAAGCCACCAAGGGAAGGGCTGTAGGCAGGAAGGGTGCTCAAGGGGAGCCAGGCCTGCATAGGGCGGAGAGGACACGCTGGAAGCCACCAGCCCCGGTGTCCAGGCTTCCGGGCACTGGCACGCCTCGAAGCCTCACCCTACACTTGGTCCGGTTCTGGGCTATCCCTTTTGCAAAGGGAACGTTTGAAAAAGCACCCACCCTCCCCCAGAAATGTGGTCCAAGAGTCTAGTTCTGTGTGATGCTAGAGTGAGGCAGGCTGTGCCGTGGTGATTAGGGGAGACCAGAGGAGGGAAGAGCTTGAGTCCAAGGACAGCAGTCCAGCTGGGGGCCAGAGGAGGCAAGAGCCCAGACCCTGCAGGGACCCAGGGTCCAGTGCTCTGGCAGCAGGACCACAGGGGCCACCAGTCACACAGACACATGAGCCGCTGTGCCTCCCTCCCCACCCCAGGCCCCCTGCCACCCAAGGGCCTGTTTGATTCTACACAGGGGTCGACAGCCGGGTACTCCCCAGGTCGGCTCCCACCAAGACTACTCAGAGGCCAGCCAAGCAGCCGACGCCCCGGAATAAAAGTGAGTGAGGAAGAAGTTTCGAGGACTATCGTGTGTCCCTTCCAAAAGCCAACAATGGGTTCTTTGCCACTGGTGAGAATGAGGAGGTCACGTGGCCCAGGAGGGAACATTTCTGTGGCTGGTGTCCACGCCCAGCTTGCTGTAGCAGTGGAGAAACAGGAGGGTGTGTCTGGCGTCACCCTCCCGCCCTGCCCAGCCAGGTGCCCCAGTGGCCTCTCTCCCCTGGCCACGGGCCCCAGGCTCACACGACCGACCGCCTGCAACACGGCTGGGGAGAGCTCATGACGCCGCTCGCCCCAGCTTACGCGTCCCAAAGCCATGATTCGTGTCGGCTCAGCAGCACCCACCAGGGCAGTGGATTAACACCTGCAGAGACTCCTGGACCGGGGGCGTTGGGGGTGCTATGCTGAGCTTGTCAAGCTAGCTTTGCTTCCGCACGGGCTGAGAAAACCGTTGTCACTGGAAGTCAGACGCGGACCTGGGGCTCACACTGCTGCTGTGGCTGTCGAGCCCAGGGTTAGGGTTAGGGTCCACCAGAGGCACGGTGGGGGCCAGCCCGGCTTTAAATCAGTCACTGGGAGTCAGCTCCTCTAGCAGGGACGGCACATCTGCCCACCCAGCCACCGTTGACAGCACCCGGGCCGGCCCCGCCCTGACCCCCGCCCGGCATTCTCCCCACCACCGTCGTCGGGGCTTCCCCAGCACCTGCTTCGGGGGCCATGCCCCACGAGCCACGGATTAGGTCATAGCCGCTCAGGAGGGACGCAATCCCTCGAAGAATTTCCCAGGCAGTACCTGCTGGCCTTGCCCAGCAGGAAGGCAGGACGGGTCCCCACGCAGGGCGGGTTGGGCAATCTGGCTCCAGCCAGCGTCAGGGTCCAACCCAGAGGCACCGTCCTCCCTCCCTCCAGCGGCACGAGGGGCGTTGGGCCACGTGGGCTCGCCCCAGAGAGACATCCTACCTGTGTCCCACAAGCACTGACTATCTGGGCCAAACACTCGGTGTCCTTAGCTGTGGGCTCCCCTTTCGGGTCACTGCTCTGAGTCTCAGGCCTGGCACTTCCAGCTGCCTCCACCCCCTCCCGCCCCCGGAAAGACTATGAAACAGCCAAGAGCTGCGTCTGGAAGCAGGTGGGTTCAAGCCTCCCCCCCTCACCAGCTGTGTGGCCTCCAGCGAATCCCTTAACCGCTTGATGCCTCTGTACTCATCTCTGAAATTCGAGCGGCGACAGCGCTCACGCTCACGGGGTTGCCGTGGGGATTAAACGGCAGGACGCACAGCGTGCACCTAGAGTCTGGCTCGTCCATGTGCTCAGCAGCTACTGTTGTCACTGCTATTATTATTACTGCGGTCCTAAGAGGAGCCGCTAAAAGCAAGGTGGGCCCTCTTCTGAAGGCCGCTGGCCCCAGGAAGCACAGAGAATGGAAACCTCACAGCCACCGGGCTCCCCAGACCCCTTTCCGATCAGACAGAGTTAACCTGAGGTCCAAAGTCCAGCTGAGGAGCATCGACTGAAAAGCTAGTTCCATCTCTGGGGAAAACTGTGGCTCCAAAGTCTCTGTAGAAACAGCCCCACGGCCAAGTCTGACTACAGCTGGGAAGAGGACCAGGCACTGTCTGGCAGGGCCACTGCGGCCCCATGGGGGACCCAGGGATTCTCTCCTGGGGCAGGCAGGCGGGGCCGAGTGGCCGCCCTGACCTGGAAGTGCCAGGCCGGCTCATCGGGGAGGTGAATGAAGTGCGGCGTCTGCCTGAGTTTCCCGATCTGGGCCCAGGGCACCCACAGGGCCACGTGGCACCCTCCTGCCACCCTTCCCGGCCAGGGGCGCCCCCACCCCTGTCGGAGTCGTCAGAGTCGCGCGGGCGCCCTGGCCTCCGCCTGCACCCCCGAGTCGCGGCCAGGACCTCGTGCGGTGAAGCGGAGACGGGGGCGCAGGGGCCGCGGGGACGGCGGGGCAGAGATGGGCCGCGGGGCTGCTCCGCCCGCCCCTCCCGAGGTGTCTAGAGCGGCGCTGGCGCGAACAAAGCCGCCCGCGCGAAACTTGGGTGCATGACGATTTCCTCCTTGACTCAGCAGCAGCATCCGCCGCAGGTGGGTGACCCCGCCGCGCCGCATCGCTGGGGACGCGCGTCTGTCCCTTGCCGGCTGGAGCGCTCCTGGCCACCTGCCCAGGCCACCAGCCCCTGCCGCTCCGTCCACCCGCCCCCGCCTCAGCCACGACCCATCCCCGTCCCTCCCACACGTCCCCTTACCCCGGCTCAGGGCTTCCTGCCTGGCAGGCGGCGGCGACGGGGGCGAATTTTGCATCCGATTCGCCTGGGTCCCGTCCTCCCTCCGCGGAGGGACTCGGGGCGCGGCTGGTGCCCAGGCCTCGGCCCCGCCCGCATCCCCCGCCGCGCCAGCCCCGGCGCCACCTCGCTGTCGCCGCCGCCACCGCCCCCCCATCACCGGGCACCTGCCGCGCCCCTGACGTCAGCAGGTCAGGGCGACGCACCTGGGCCGCACCCGCGGCGGCGCCGGCTCCCCGCGCCCCGCTCCCCGCGCACTCACCGTCCCGGCCGGCGCCCGCGCTGCGCTCCACGCTCTGGCCGCCGCGC